GCCAAACTTACAATTAGATTTCCTGTAAGTTGGATCCAATTCGGACCAGTAGATTTCGAGAAATTGCAAAAAAAGTGAAAAAAAATTTGTTTTTTTTTTATTTTTTCAAAATATCTCCGAATTGGCTGAACCGATCGACCTCAAAAACTAATCAGCTCTTAACCTTGAAAACCCACATCGATCGTCACCAAAAGCGTCAGAATCGGTTAATGCGTTCGTGAGATATCGTTGTCGAAAAAAATCGAAAAAAGTGTTTTTCTTGTAATAACTCCGAAATGTTTCATCAAATCAATTTTTTTGTTCTAACTTATTTATAGAGCTCGAAAAACTACATCGATCGCCGCCAACCACGTGAAAATCGGTTGATTCATTCAATAGTTATAGAAGTTTGAAAATTAAAAAAATCGTGTTTTTTCGAACTTTGATAAGATTTTTGAGCTCGAAGAGCTCAAAAATATAAGAAGGCCATCTCTTTGAGTTCGGAGAGTTCAAAATAACACATAAATTGTATTAAAATACGTATTTGAGTTCACGATATAACACAAATATCGTGAACTCAAGAACGTCATAAGTGCAATTTTAAGCGCCTACACTGATAGAAAAACAATCTTGATTCAAGAAACTTTTTTTCTTCAAAACTTGAACTCTTGAAACTAGATATAGATATATTTCTTTCAAGAATTTTTGTCTCTTGGTTCAAGATAGGCGATAACATTGATTCAAGATGTTACCGACTTGTGTTAAGAATGGCTTTTTTTTGAGTCATTAATTAATTTACTTATTTCCAAGAAATAATTTTTTTTTGGTATAAAAATTAAAGACTATTCAGTTTTTGAAATATACTTTGATAAATTATTTTTAGTTTTTTAAACGATAATGTTATTTTGATTGAAAAACTTAAATGTATCGATTGAAGATAATATAGCTCTTTACCCAAGAAAATCTAAATCAAGACAAGAAATTCTTAAAGCAAAATAATCATTTGTCTTCCAAAATAAATTCTTAGATCAAGAAAATATCTCTTGAGTCAACATAAATTTTCTATCAGTGTAGGTATGGAATTAGCGGGAAGTTGCAGGGATGGCCTTCAGGGTCAACCGTTTTCCTAATTTTTTTTTTTACTAACGGCCAAATTTTAGTGTTAGGTATACAATGAAAGATCTAATTTGATTTTTTATGATCCTGTCATCAGTTTCACTGTCAACACGAAAACATTTTTGTTCAGAGGGATCTCCAGAAGAGACGTCGCAATGGCAAAGTTCTAAAATTTTCCTACGAAAATATCAGAAGATGTTTATTAGATATGTATCTTCAATTTTAAAAAAGTTTAAATAGAAATTTTATTATTTATTTAAGAAAAAATTTGTTGAAAAAATGCTTTCTTCCCGGAGTAAACCATGTAACCTCTTAATAAATAACCAAACATAATTTATAAGTAGACATTGTTTATTACTTACTAGATATTAATCTAGATCTACTTACTTGAGAACTATCAAGGACAAAGATATATACAGCTAGTGGACCGTCATTTCTTCTTGAATTTCTTCATAATATTCTTTTGTTTAGTATTTTAAATTGGAAATTTAAAAACCAATAGAAAAAAAAATAAAACCTCATGTCACATGATTATTTTTGTTTTTTATTTATTTATTTCTATCATACAGGTCTATAGAGATGCAAAAGCATCTGTCCATTGTCCTAGATATTAGATGAATTATCCTAATTTTACAAAATATTTAAAAAAATATATAAAAAACACAAAATGCATAAATAGTTTGAGAAATGTTAATATTGCACAAATTTCTTGTACTATTATAATGACAGTTTCTTAATCCAATCTTTTATCTTATAGTTTAGCGTTTTTTTACTATAATTTAATATCTTGAGATTATTAGGTAAAAGGTTAAAATATTTTATTGCAACATAGTAAGCGTTCTTTAAGCTAATCCTTTTATTAATTTTAGGGGGAGATATCGACTTAAATCTAGTTCTAATTTCTTTAGGATTGTATTGATCGTTATACTCTTGATAGTAACGCATCAGCAATAAAAGTTTTCTTTTAATATCAAGGGGTAGATGTAAAACACCATGACCTTCGAAATATTTCAACATATGGTTTTTAATGTTGATAATAGGCCTAATGGCGTTATTATACGCACCACCCCAAGCAAATATCCCATAATTTATGATACTTTCAAAGAGTATATAGTACACACTTTTTAGTACAGTAATGTTAACACATTGGGTAAGTTTGTAAAAGAGAAAAACAAAGTATCTTAATTTTTTGGTCAATTCATTCACATGTATATTCCATTTCAATTGAGCATCAAACTATTTTTCTCCTCGACGGAGGTGGAAAGCGGCATTTTCGTTTAGCACAGCGAGCGGAAAATTGACGCTTTCCGCACGGAGGGGAGAAAAAAATAATCCTACACGGAAAAAAAAATATTGTTAAAATGACTATCCAACGTACCCTCAAATGACGTTTCCTTAAAATAACGATCCGGATTTCTGATTTAAGGATTCATTTGTTTGACTTAAAAGCACACAGAGAATAGCTCTTGTAAATATATGTATAGTTTCGTCAAAACAGGCAACTGTTTCGTTAACGTGAGGATCTGTATAGTTGAATTAACTAATTGTAACGCTAAAATAATGATATGCATCGTCATTTTGATGATCCGCTGTATAGCTGAATTGGCTATACAGCGTATATCTCTAAAAAAAAATGACTATACGGCGTATAGTCAGAATAACGATACGTATCCTTATTCTAAGGATATTTTTTTCTCCGTGTAAATATTTACAGTATTCAACTCTAAGAAGCTCTCTATTGTTTATTGTTAGTCTATAATTGACAGGAACACTATCTCTATAACTATCAATAGTAATATATGTCAACTAATCTATATTAAGCGAAAGTTGATTATCTCGCAGCCAAACATCAAGTATTTCTAGCCAATTATTCAAGATTGAACTAATTTCAATCCAGCTATTTCCTGTACATAGAATTGCTGTATCGTCTGCATAAGTAACTAGAGAATTCTCCGGCGATGATTAAAAATAAAACAATTTTTTGTATTTAACTTAATGATTACGCAAGGTCAGAAAAAAAACTGCACTGTACTTTTGAACAGACCCACTTAGGGATATGTACTTGAATGCACTGAATTTAAATTTGAGGTCCGTTTGGCCGGTATACCATAACAATTTTTGATATACTGCAAAAAAACCGCCAAAAATGGCGAAAATTCGCAAAAAATTTTAGTTATACAAATTTTTTTCCAACTCAATTAAGTATGTTTCTCATATATTTCAATGCGCTGAGTTCAAATCTTAAGTTGATTCAGCTGGAGACCCTTCAAATTTGAAATAAATTGCAAAAAACTACTGAAAATCAAAAAAAAATCGTAAAAAACTAGATTTATGCGAACGAAACAAAATTCTTTTTTTAGCGTCGAGCAAAGATCTACCATCATGTTGATATTCTAATTTCTTTAAGACCTACTCTCTATTTCACTTATGTCTTGATGAAATCGTTCTCTTTGTTCTTCACTGTAATCTCCAAGATTTTTAGAAAAATTGTCAATATGAGAATGTAGAAAGTGAAATTTAAGATTCATCAAGCTATCCAAATTTATTCAATTTAGCAACAATTCTCCAACTAAATTTTTGTAATTTTTATTATAATTATTACCTCATTTAAATAAAGTCCAAATTTGGGATCCATTGAAAATTTCCTCTTCTAACTTTGTTTAGTTATGTACCTTAGTTTTTTATAAGTTATGAAAAAATTATACTGTATTCTTAAGATTACTCATGTTTTTTGAAATATTCGACAGACCTTTAACAAAGACGTCATAAAACTTAAAATTCGGAAATTTATGACAGTCAAACTCAAGTAGTTGCCATTGTAAAATAATCTCTTTAATGACTTAGACTAACCTTCGACACAAATGGACAAATTTTACAACCCATCTGTTTATCAGATGGCGACCAGACTTTTCCCAACTTAGCAATCTTCTCACACTTAGTTTAAACAACCCTTCTTTAAATAAATAATACCCTTTCCAGAATCCTTTCATTTAACAACAATTCCCCAACTCCAGTTATTTTCCACCAACCAAAAACGGAAATATCCTTCCCAAAATTGCACTCTCTGACTGACGATAGTTTGACAAAAAATCGAGCAAGACAGTTACTGACAAACCTCTGACCACGCTCGCCGAGCGTCTTATACCTGACCTTTACCGACTTTTGTACCGATTAAATTAATGTAAAAGTATAGTCAGTTCTCAATTTAATAAATCAATATTAAATCGAAATATTTGTGATCTTTTAATTAAACATCACAAAATTCTTGTTAAATTATTACCAAATTAATTTGCAAGAAAACAAACTTCGCATTTCTTATCGCAGGAAACCTTTTTCCCAATCATTTTTAGTTAATTACTGTGAGTAGAAATAATACCATATTTTGATACTTTCTACTACCTTGTAGTGTAAAATCTAAACTAACGTCAGATTTGGATATAGTACATCAAAATACATGTGAAAAATACTTGATCTTCATTAAGAAATTTTGTTTCGTTCGCATAAATCTAGTTTTCCACGACTCTTTTGAGATTTTCAGCAGTTATTCACAATCTACTCTTTTACAGGATCTACCAGCTAAACCAACTTGAGATTCGGATTCAGCGCATCGAAATACATAAGGAAAATTCTTGATGTTGACTAAGAAATTTTTTTTCATTCACATTACTGGAATTTTTCACGATTTTTTTTTCAATTTTCAGTAGTTTTTCGCAATTAACTCCAAATTTGGAGGGTCTACAAACTAAATCAACTTGAAATTTGGATTTAGCGCATCAAAGCAAGTTAACGACCCGATTAACCAAGGAAACAATAATAATAATAATAATAATAATAATAATAATAATAATAATAATAATAATAATAATAATAATAATAACCCCGAAGATCCAAACAACATCGACGAGATGGTTTTAGCCGCGAATCAAAGTATCTTGTTAAAAGACGCTTTGGCGTTTGTACCCCAATTCAACGGAGTCCCGGAAAAACTCATCGATTTTTCAAAATGTTGTAAGGAAGCGAAAGACGTGTTACCCGCCGAAGCAGAAGCAAATTTATGTAAATTAATCTACGGAGTAAAATTAGACGATAAAGTAAAGGCATCATTAAGTCACACCATCCCAGCAACAATTTTAGATTTGGGGAAGAACTTAAAAAAGATTCATGTAGCTTCAAAGACAGTTTTCCAACTACAAGGCGAATTAGAACAATTATATCAGGAAAAGGGTAAATCAGTAGTGGATTACGCGAATAGATAAAGAAAGAAGGTAAATGAAATCATCGAATGCAATGCGTCGGACAATCCTAATATGACCGAAGTCGAAAATCAAGCGTTCAAAGATAAGAACAATTCTTCACTCTCGGCCATATTCACACAAAATTTAGACCAGGAAATCGACCGGCGAATGCCCACTTGCGCTAACGTAGATGAGGCCCTAGCAGCTGCCATAAAAATTAAAAAAAAATTGAAAGCGTGGAACGAGTTAATGTCCAAACCCAAAGAAAAGGCTGCAGAAAAAAAGAAGAAAAACCCGGTAACCTTTACTACTACCACTGATTCCCGAAGCCCAAAGAATAAAACATCAAATTCAGGCAATAATAATAATCCTAACAAAAACACCAATAGTTATAATGGGAACAGAAATCAAAACCAATTCGATTCCTCAAAAATCAATTGTCGTTGTAAGAAACAAGGGCATTTTGCAAGAGACTGCCCCGAACGTCAATGTCAAATCTGTTACGAGAAAGGACATGGAGCCAAAACATGCCCTCAATTAACACCAACAGACCAAAATCAATATGCCAATTTAAGATGCCAATTGTGTGGACAAAGAGGTCATTCCGCTAGATATTGTAAATTAAACCCAAATCGAGTCAACCCCGCTTCGAATCCCGGACCGAGTCAAGGAAATTACCGAAACCCTCCAAACACAGTAAACAATAATTACGCGCAAAATGCAGGAATGCATTGTGACGTTTGCGGACTAAATAATCACACTCAGGAAAATTGTAGGTGGTTAAAAACGATAAATTTTATCCAGGCAAACGCGAGACAATCTTCTTCGGGGGGCGCGAGAGGAGACCATCGAAACACCCGTCCTGTACACGTGATACAGAACGTGAGGATAGACGAAGATTCGGAATAAATAAAATTGAAGTAAAGTCTGATTTAGATAATTTACCCTTCGCTGTCGTCGGTAAATCATCTAAACAAGAGGATATTATCATGATGTTGGAGTCCGGAGCGGCTCCAAATCTGATTAAAATAAAATATTTAAAAGGAACAACAAAAATAAACAAAAATAACATTATTGAACTTCACGGAATTTCGAATACTCCCATATCAACATTAGGAAGTGTAAACCTGAAACTATTTGGCAGAATGACCGAATGTCATGTCGTACCAAATAGCTTAGCCATCCCGCACGCAGGATTAGTGGGATCGCAGTTTTTCTCTGAATTTGGAGCCAAAATTGATTATAAAAACAAAATCTTGGAAATTGGGACTGAAAAATATCCGTTCAAAAAACCTAACAGGGTTGAAAATGGAAACCTAATCGGTTAAAATTATCTAAAATAAAACCCCAACCTGTTACTAAGAAAAACACAAATAATAAAGGGAAAATCGAGGACTCAGACCCCGATTACCAACCCTAATTATGTTTCTGTTACAGATGAAGTTACTAATTGCAGTATTGTGCATCTTATTTGTCACTCCAGCTACCGCAATGATCGGATACGATTGCGGCAGCGAGTTCTTAAACATGACAACAATATCCCTTCTGGATATTGATGAATGTGATTACCAAGAAGATCGCGTGGACCAAAGCCTAGTGGACATCGCGTTATTACAGTTGAATGAGCTTGATCATATCAACGTATTACAATGTAAAATTGAAATTTCTAGAGCGGTGTATTATTGTGGAATGCATTCCCACGTATCTTTAGTAGAGAATGCTCACATGGAATACGTCCACACGATCTCGCGCGAAGCTTGCCGAGTAGCACTTAACTGCGGCACTCTTCGTATCAGTAACACCGTCCTCGACGGGTTACCGGTAAATTCAACGGCTATGAGAAGTATAACGCTTGCAGGAAGTATCACAAATGATGGTACTTGCAGGCACACAATATTCTGACCCTTACGGCACCTGGAATTCAGTTATCGTAATGGGCACTGTAAAAATTCCTTTAAAATCCTTTTTTTCTAGAGTTAAGGTAGAATTTAATAAAATTTATTTGCCATCGGGATTTAATTGTAAACTAAACGAAGGTAGTTGTGTTGACTCTGATGGATTTTATACCTTTTAGGACTCAATACCTCAAAAATTTTGTAAAGAAAGCACTTATTCCGTACTTTTCAAGGGATTAGTGACTAAATTAGTCTCTAAGTCAGGAACAGTGTTTTCTGTCAGCATCAGAGATACAAGTTTCTCGCTTACTACTATTGGAACTGAGGACTCATGTGGTCTTTCTATATTGAAAACCGGACATCCGCATTTTTTTATTGACCAGGGCAAAGATCTTGCTTCCTTGGGAATCAATAAAATACTAGAGACCGATTCAGAAAATTTGAATCTTTTCTTAAACGCTAATGCCAAGTTCGTGTATGTAGAAAGATACTTGAGAAATCAGATCCAATCTCTTTATGTAAATGTAATGATATACCGATGTAAAATAGAGAAAGATATGCTTAAAAACTCATTGGCCATCGCATCAACCCAGCCCGACGAGTTTGCGTATAGATTCATGGGAGGCCCCGGATATATGGCTGTCCTCGCCGGCGAAGTTATACACATCGTCCAATGCATTCCGGTTGAAGTAAAAATACGACATGCGACCACCTGTTATAACCGAATTCGAGAGTAACACAGGCAAATCTCAGCATGTATTTGATGCCGAGGACTCACGTCCTCACTAATCAAGCTTCTGAAATTCCTTGTAATTCACCGTTACTCCAACATTACAAACTGAGTACAACATGGTACAAGTTCATGCTGACCCCGGTGGAAACCATACCCCCGGTCAACCTGAAACCTGATACAAGAGGAAGTTGGGGCTACTGCAGTCCCGCCGGAAGAACCGTCATCCTACCGACTACTCTGCATGTTAGACACGGCCGGCAAGATATTCGAGCGCATAATTCATCAGAGAATAGAGGCTGTAGTCGATCCACTCCTGGCAGAGAACCAGTTTGGTTTCCGAAAAGGAAGGTCAACTCTGGATGCGATCAAAGTGGTTGTTGATATAGCCAAGGATGCAATCGCCGGAACGAGATGGAAAAGCAGAAAGAAGAAATACTGCTTGGTGGCTGCTTTGGATATCAAGAATGCCTTCAACTCCGCTAACTGGGACTGCGTTATGCGGGCTCTCGAAGAAAAAAACGTACCAGTATACCTTCGCAGAATTGTAGCGAGCTACTTCACAAATAGGGTCCTGAAATATGACACGAAGAACGGTCCGGAAGTGAACGAAATCACCGGAGGAGTGCCACAGGGATCAGTCTTTGGTCTTATGCTATGGAACATCATGTATGACGGCCTCCTGAGAATAGCATTACCTACGGGAGTCAAACTTGTAGCATATACGGATGACGTAGCTGTCGTGATCGTCACAAAGCACCTCGGAGAGAAAGAAATGGCATTTGATATTACATTCAGACGAGTCAATTTGTGAATGGACATGGTGAACTTCCAACAAGCCAAGCAGTGCTCATCACCAGTAGAAAAACGGTAGAAACTATCAAGTTGAGAGTCGGAGAGCAAGAAATCACATCACAACCATTTATCCGTTATCTGGGAGTGATGCTGGATGCCCGACTAAACTTCAAGCAACAGGTGGAACACGTCAGTGCCAAAGCGTCAGTAGTAAGGGCTAATCTCGCACGGCTGATGCCTAACATCGGAGGCCCAATGCAAAGCAAAAGGCTACTATTATCATCAGTAGTCACAACAGTGCTCACTGGATGATGCACTGGAAACCCAAGAATCATAGAGAAAAGCTGGACCAGTATATCGACTGAATGCCCTACAAGTAGCTAGTGCCTTCCGCACTATATCAGAAGAAGCAGTGTGCGTCATTGCCGGAACCCTACCTCTTAGAGTTCTAGCAGAGGAAAGACAGGCCCTTTACCAACGAAAAAGGTCAACTGCACTGAGTCCTGGAGATCTTAGAATTGAAGAACAACAGAACAGCATAGGCCGATAGCAACTACAATGGAATGCTGCAGAGAAGCGTAAGTGGACGCACCACCTCATACCTTGGATCGACATTTGGCTTAACCGGAATCACGGCGAGGTCAATTGCTATCTGACGTAGATGTTGTCGGGACACGGGTGTTTTCGAGAGTATCTACATCGCTTTAAGCACGATGACTCTTCGGAGTGCCCGTCCTGCCCAGGAGTTGCTGAAGATGCGGAGCACATCTTCGTTGTATGTCCTCGTTTCGATCCACAGCGTGAAGAGTTAGAGAGAATCCTGAACCAAAGAATGCAACCAGATTCACTAGTGGAAGCAATGTAGTCATCTGAAGCTGCCTGGAACGCTACCAACACTTTTTAACAGAAGTCCTCGAAGACTTGCGTTCCACCGAAAGAAGAAGAGCAAATATCAAAAGATAGAAGGAAGGAAGTAACACCTATGCCACCAGAAGGAAGAGCAGTAGCTAGTTCCTCTCCTCACGAAGTAATACCTGGCAATGGTTTCCATGAGGGATTAGAGGAAAGAAGAAAAGGGGTTTAGGGTTGAGTGAGTAGGGGCGTTAGGCCAAACAGCTATGCCTGGAATCCGCACAAAGGCTTTCCCCCCCCCCTAAAAAAAAAAAAAAAAAAAAAAAAAAACGGAAAAAATAAAATACACGAGTTTCTTAGCGAATTTGAACCATTTTTAGCGGTTTTTTGCCATTTACTCAAAGTTTTGATAGTATATGGGCATAATGGAACTCAAATGGGAATTCAGTGCATTGCAATATATAACCCTAGATCTGGTCAAAGATACAAAGCACTTTTTTTTGTGGCCCCATGTTATATACATCACTCACGCTTCCAATTTTTATAAATAAATTCAAGTTTCGATCAACTTACACAAGTCATCATTCGACAAGTATGAGTATAGGTCTCTTATAAAAGTATATGGAAGAAAAGAGTACAAAATACTTTCAATGATTTCTGCAGACTGTTTCAACAGATCAATCCTTAGAGCAGCTTTAATAAGCTTAAAATGAAGGAGGCTCTCGTACAAAGGAAACATTTCCATTAATTTTTCGGGTTTACATATCCAATAATAAGAAAGACAATTATTCAAAGAAGCTATTTCGTTGAGATCAACAAATTTCAAATAAACTGCCATTTGATGAATCGACCAATGCAACGCGTCATAATAAGACATTCTACTAATACCTATTTTCATACATTTCATTTTTTCCACTTCTTGTCGGCACCTGTTACGTAATTCATCGTATTCTGGTCCTTGGGCAGCTTTGATATTTTTGTTACAAACATAATAACCACCAACAAGCAATAGGACAATGCATCTCTTGAAATATTGAACTTTTGTATTATCATCACTGCAATCGATTGCCAGTTTATTGTCACTGTCAACTATGTTAACATCTATTCCAGCGGTCAGTAAGGTAATGAGATTTCTCCTGAAATATGATTCAGCACGTTGATTTTCTAATCTCTTCAAAATTAGATGATGAAGCATCGAACGATTGTCTTCTGTTACAGCGTTGATTTGTATTAAATTTTGGATGCCTGACAATAAATGCCAATCGGTGTAGAGAATCTGAGAGGAAATAGTATGTTAGAGGAAACGACTTGTCCTTGAGATAAATCGAACAGTTAATGTCAGCTCCGTCAGCCAACACTTCTTCTGGTACTTCGAAATTCGAAAACTGAAGAGCTTTTATCAAAACAGTTGACAATAAACTTGAAGGTGATTTGTATTCGACTATATCAAACCCCTTATTCCAAAATAATTTAAGAAACTTAAGAGAATTCTCATGATAAAGAGAAAAATTGCTTGAATCGATAAGATATCTACCAAACCATACCCTTTCCGATATATCTGTTATACCTTTCACTATTTCATCGCTTGTAATAACTTCATTCACGAGATACTTAATCATTTCATATTGACGATGTCTAATAGCTGTGTGCAACACTGAATGTTTTATACCTTTCTGATAGTAGCAACCCCTTTTTACATTCAAGTCGGCGCCATGCTCTACCAATTTTTTTAACAATTCTACATTTCCATATATCTTACTACTCGGTGAATAACGTTATCCGTATCGTTATCATATGTTATGTTAACATCAGCATTTTTACTTAAGAGATAATCGATTAGTTTTTCATCCTGATTCACCACAGCACCATAAATAAGCGTTATGTAAACCTTCTGTACGAATACATCTATTTTATAAGTGACCTTAAATTCTATTATTTCATCAACATTTACTTTTTTATTTTCTATGAGATCTTTCGTGTAATTTAAAGTTAGTTCAGGATAGCTGTATATTTTAACGAAATTAAGACATCGTTTCCTATTTTTTGTTTCCATTTCTGAAGTTATGATGAATTTTTTTTCGATAGTTCCTGGAAAGAAATATTAATTGACTTAATTAAAATCAAGTGAAATAGAGAAACAATAAAATATTTCTAGTCAATCACAATAGAAATAGTAAGTAAATTACATTTTTGTATTAACCGGTGAAAAAATTTTCTGACATGGCCTGATATGCGACTACTCTAACCTAACACGCCAGCCCGGTGCCACCTAGGGACAAGAATACCTAAGCGAACTCAGACCCCTGGTCCTGAGTTCTTTTTACCACGACTCGCTCCTTCAGGGACGTTGGAGTTTTCGAGGAGGAGGAGGAACAGCAATAGTCATAAAAAATAATATGTAATTCACAGCAATCACACATCCTAACTCAAATAATAATAAAGTGATTGAATTCACACTATTTAAAATCAAACTAAGTAATTTAAAACAACTAATAGTTGGCAGTCTATATGCAACAACAAAAATAGAAGCAAAACAAATATTTTCAGACGAAATAAACGCACTACTCACAAATTTAAATTTGAGCAATAACAACATATTTTACGTCATAGCAGGAGACCAACGCAAGGCATAAAGAACTAGGAGACAGAACTACCAAAACAAGAGGTAGATGGTCAGTCAACTGGGAAAAAGAAAATACTGCTAACTTCAGAACCAGCATTCACATTCCGCATGAATCGACTTTTACTCCAACAAACTCTCTACTAGACATCTGCATCGCTGATACCAGACTAAAATTTACAAATTTAAAAAACAATAACCTTGGCCCCACGTTGGGCCCAACATACGCACCTATGACAGCGATCATAAGGCAATTATAATGGAAATAGACCTACAAGGCAGTACTTTGAAAAACATACCAGAAGACAACACAATTATATTACAATACAAATAAACTAATTGGAAAAAATTTACTAAGCATCTCAATGGCAATTATGATCTAAATACTTCAAATAACAAAAACCTATCAATTAATGAAATAGACACATATACAGGGTGTCCCAGAAGTAACGGACGCCATTGTAAGATCTGATGAAAAAAATAATTCTGAGACGAAAAGTCCTTAGCCATTTTTTAATTAGATGCATAGATAATTAATTATTAATTAAAATAACGTCTCTTTATGTGTTAGAGAGAGAGCACCAGTGTCCAGTGAAGTATGTGCCAAACAAAGACACAACTAACTGTATGACTAACTAGCTACTATAGCTAACGTAGTCACCCATATTTACTAACACATTCACACGTGCAAGCGTCTCCGTTTGGAACGCACTTGACTGGACACTGGTGCTCTCTCTCTCTAACGCATGAAAGGACGTTATTTTAATTAATAATTAATTATCTATGCGTCTGATTATAAAATGGCAAAGGACTTTTCGTCTCAGAATTATTTTTTTTATCAGATGCTACAATGGCGTCCGGATCAGAGATTATTCTACATTTTTTAATAACTCTCTGAACCACAAATATTTTCCAGAAACCTGAAAAACATCAAAAATAGTACCAATACCTAAAAAAGGTAAACCTGATAATTTAACATCAAGTTACAGGCCAATTAGCCCAACTCCAAATATCAGTAAAGTATATGAAGCTGTAATTAATGACTCCATCATGGCAAATTGCAATGAACACAAAATTATTTCAGATGATCAATTTGGGTTTAAGATTCAGCACTCTACAATACATGCAATTAACAAACTGCTGTCAGACGTCACATCACACCTAGACGAAAATCTAGTAGGAGCGACACTAATTGACCTGGAGAAGGCGCTCGATACGGTATGGCTATATGGGCTAATATATATTTTAATCAAAAATAACTTTCCAGAACATCTTACCAGTACAATATGGAGCATGATCAGTAATAGATTTTTTCATACGTGGGACGGAAAAATAAAATCATCAAAATTATTTAACATTCAAGAAGAACTACAGCAGGGGACCGTGAACTCACCCACGCTGTTAAACATTTTTACAAGCCACATCCTGAATGCGTGCAAATTAAACCAGAACAACAACACCTTTTCAATCGCATATGCAGACGACCTCATCATTTATGTCGCAGTAAAATGTCCGAAAGAGCTAAAGGAACAACTAGAAACAAAAAAACAAAATCAATAACCAATACGCGAGATGGAACCTACGCGTCAGCCCGGGGAAATGCGAGACCATCGTTTTCAGGAAACCTGCCATGTTTGTAACAAAATCCACAAGAATAAATAATGATAGATTTATTATAGAAACATTCCATCCAGAAACTCGTGAAAACATGAAAGTTCCCACTGTCAACTCCGTTAAATACCTAAGCATGGACATCGTCTATTTAGCAAAATGCAATACTCATCTAGACTCGCAACTCAAAAAAGCACGTAATTCATACCTATCTCTTGACAGGCTTTTTCACAACAAATTCATCACACCACGAGCAAAGATAATCTGTTATCAACTATTTGTACGTCCACTACTAACATACGCAGCTCCTGTATGCTGGAACATCGGCGAAACACACATGGAGAAGTTAAGAATGTTTGAAAGATCCTGCCTAAGAACTGCTTTAAATCTACACTGAAAAGCTGAGACCGAGTATAGAGAAAGAGTAAGTAACAAAGAGCTGTACGACGCGGCGAAAATTCCTAGAATCGAGAACCACAGAATAAAACTCACCAGAGACTACTACAGCAAGCTGAACATCATCAACAACGAGCTAATCAAAAAGCTCAAATATGTCAATAGTGATATTCTTACTAACGCCCAAAAAAGGTCTGCTACAACCACAAGCATTTACAACTCTGGATAAGCTTGGAATAATTCAAGACAGCATGAACATACCGATTCTGTACCATAAGAGCAGACACAAAAGCAACAAGGCGCTTATTGATTTAAGAAATTTTAAAAATAAGGCTAATAAATACTCAACAGCATTGCCCAGAAATGAGCAAAATTACTTTCACAGACTAGATACAGAGAAATACTGGTGGACTGATAAGAACTCCACCACATATAACGAACTCCAAAGAAGAAAAGTGACACTAAATATATAAATAACTCAGCAAATAATTAAAACTATTATTCTATAGATTTTAATTGACTAAATAATCTACAGATATAATATTACTACTCGCTTTATAATAGTGCTCTTGCACCTGTAAATATGTATATAAATCTAGTCTTAAGTTAGTCATAAGCTAAAAAATTTCATGATTTAAGCTCGGGTTTTTATTTTTATATAAAATTTTTTTAGACATATCAAGCTAGCAGTGGCAGAGCCCATCTTGGACGATCATAATTATTGATTTCTCGGAATCTAAACAAGCAACAATATTCTAAATAGAGCAACTAATTAGCAACAAAAAAGCAACAAATTTAGCACCACAAATAAATTTTGTTGCTTGAATAATAAGTCAATGCCTGATGGACGAGTCCATGCTAGCTTGATAGACCTAACTTTTTTTCCCACACAGCTCATCAAAAAGCGACTGATAGATCAACAAAAACTTTAGATCTTATTGATAAACAAAGACCAAAATATCAAAAAAAAAGTTTTCACTAAAAATAAAAATTAGATTAAGAAGTTTTTTTATTTAGTTTATTTAGACTTAAGAAAAAAATGTAAGATTGTTATCAATAATAAATAAACTTTAAACGAAAAAAAAAAAAAATTCCTGCCCACGCCAGATATTCTAAGTTCTAGGAAAATAATTATATATAATTTTATACAATTATATACCATTTCTATTCGATTTTATCGGGCCATTTTTTTTATATAATTTATACATAATTGTATAAAATCTTTTTTACTCGGGAACTTTTTCTTCCATGTAACGATTTTACAATATTATTAAATTCACAAATATTAATAATTTAAAATATACCTGATGAAAATTGATGAATCTTGTTGATTTAGTTTGATTTAGTTGGTTTCAGTTCACGATTTTACTTTACTTTTACAAATGTTTTAATTTCTATACGATAGATCTACACGTCATCTATTGAAACTTATTTAAATTGTGTACGATGATAACACTAGGACGTCAGGACAACGAGAGAGATTTTTTTGGTAAAAATTGTGAGGTGTCGAATTTTAGAGCGTTACTAATTTCCACTTATTGGGAGAAACAAATGTCCAATTATTTGTCTATTTTTTTGGGCCCTTACCCTCTCTCTTAAGTTTGTCTACAATTATTGCATGAGTCCCCTCTACTTGGATCAGAGTGCAATATAGTTTTCTCACTTACTCTTATATTCTATTATCCATCTTTGTGTGTGTATATACGTAAACGCATTTACACATAGACAAAGACACACATTTGTACTGTTTAACATTAATTTATTTACTTAAATCGTATGAATAAATATGTACTTGAATCTAGCATCTCTTGCGTTTTTTTGATTTTAGTTATTTATTTGTAGAAATGTTTCTGTTTTATCATTTTATAAATTTGTTGTATTATTTTAGAATTTAATTATTTAATATTTGTTTATTTTAAATTGATTAACTTTCAAGTTCTATTTTTTTATTTGTTTCTCATTTCATATTCAATTTTTATTATCTAAAAATTATTTCACAAAGTGCATTATTAAAATTTATTACGATATTTGTTTCAACACTCAAATTCTGTAATTAAGTTATTCTAAAATCTTTTGGTTTAAAATAAATCTTTTATCTAATCTTCTTTGACATTACTTAAGTATTTCTTATTTTAAGTATAAGTGAGTTTGCTTACGTATAACAAAACCCCCACATACATCAATTTAATCTCTTTAATGTACCTGCGCCCCAGACTAATTACGGGAATTTCCCTGGGCCTCTTGTGAGAGTCGAACGAGAGACTCAATGATCGCACTCGAATTATCTTTTACAATCATTAAAATTTAAATAAAATCATACTCGATTTTTTTTTTTTATAATTAATAAATATGCAAAGAAAAATTCTTTGCATAACACTTATAATATAAAAAACAAAAATAAAAAAAAAGGCCATTCGGCAGCCGAAATGGAAGTAAATTTCATAATGAATAGATCTTAAAAACTACTAGGATTGTATACAAAACAAAAAAAAACCAGTGCAACAGCAAATTTCGTAATCGGCATTGGAATAGGATGTTACGTCGTGGTTAAATTAACGTTTTTTATTTGTCTTAAAATAATACGAATTTTTATAAATTCTAAAACATATTTTTAAAAAAGTAAAATTTACAGCAGACACTAATAATGACCAAACGCATTAAGTGTCTCGTCTGGACTATTTAAAAAATTTCCCGTCATTAGACAGATCCAAGTTCTTTAAGAGATTAAAAATCCTAAATACATAAGTAAATGGGAGTTTTAATGCTCTCTGCATTGACTGGCAGTACCGACAAGGACTTTGGAAATTTTTAACATTTGAATAAAATAAAACTTTAAAAAAAAAATATTTTTAAGAGTTGAAAATAATAATAAATGTAAGAAATATATCACTAAATAATGTTAAGATAACTAGGAAAATTATTTGAGTAATAATTGAAAGAAAATAATAATTTTTTTTTTTTTTTAATTTGTTTTAAAGTCGCATAAACTACTAAGGTCATGAGCGACTACGGTAGAGGGTAAACTTTTGAGATTGGAACTCGTTTGTATTTCTTGGGCTGAGCAGAATAATACACTTAAATATTGAAAATATTCATTGGTGTACGCCGGACTCGAACCCGGTCCAATGCTTTGGTAGCAAGGGCCGGATCCGATAGGCTACTGCGCGCCTTAAAATAATAATTGAAACAATAGGAAATATTTAAATAATTATTAAATAACAACAATTAAAGAATAACAATAATTACTTAAACAATAATATCGTAAGGATAGTAACTAGTTATTGAAAATGGATATTACTAACGATTAATAATTAAATAAATAAATAAGTAATAACTATAGTAAAATAAAAGATTTAGTTAAATAAGGAAACTATGAATTTTTGTGCATGTAAATGTACTTGCGAGTACACCAAAACATAGATACACATATAATCTATAAGTAAGAGAGAGAAGCACATCGTGCCCTCTGGGCCCAAAGAAGGAAGTTCAAGCGAACATCTTTAGAAAACTCGGAAGAGCGGGTAGAATCTACGGGAAATAGACAGTTAATTGGATACTCTTTTCCCCCAAATAGTAATTTGGAAACGCCCGAAAATTCGAGTCCCAAAAGAACTTCGCATGAACTCTCTCTTGTAATCCTGACCCCGAAGTGTGCGGATCGCCTGATTAGCTAGTGACCGGGTTCCTCTCACGTAGCTACATAGTTTTCTTTTTAAATATTGAGTCCTCGGTCTGAGCCTCTCGTTAGAACGCACCCTCGTGCGAAAGTCTTGCCAGAGACTCCCGTCGAGGAATCGTTAGTAAAAAATCTCCAGGTTTGAGGATCGTTTAAAATCTTAGTTAGTGGCCGGTATTTCTTCCACGTAAACTAAGAAGTGGAATTTAAATAACAAAAGTAGAAGCTAGCGAGATTAAATTTTAAATAGAATAAAATAAAATTATACAGTGTGACTGTGTGTCGACAACCAGGGATGATTAAATTCAATATGTAACTTAAACCATGTAAATTTAATTTCTTGTCAATATACGTTGTTAAAATTAAAATCTAAAAAGTACAATTAATTATATATAAAAAAAAAATACAACAAAAAGACAACCGCACCGTTTTCCAACATCCTTCTGGGTTCCCAGTATAGTCATTGAAAATCACCAGGACTAAAATAAATTTTTAATAAATTATGTCCAAAATTTGGACGTAACAAGGGCGTAATTTTAGAACTACTCACATGATATGATACTCAAATTGAAGCTTACTTAAAGAGCTTTCAGATGCAATATACAGAGATTCAATAAGTTATCCCATTCAAAAGTTATTTGTGTAAGAAAGTAAAGTAATATGAATTTTTAAGACTTTGAAAATTTAGAAATCCTGACATTTCTAAATAACTTGACTGATTAAGTCCAATTTCGAACTTGACTTCGTTATTTATCTATCAAAAAAGTATGTTGAGTTTGATAAAGATCTGTTGCTAATTGTAGCCACTATCGTCCTGACAAGTCGCGTTATATATCCCCTGACCCGGGGATTTACCAAGCCAGGCTCAACGTTTATATTGAATTTTAGCCTATTTAAAAAAATCATTATTAAGGGCACTAGGAGAATAATCTCTAATTAGTTAACTTTGACTTCGGCTAGCTCTTATCTCTTCCTCAGGGCGGCGGGCCATGTTGAAATACACGTCATTAATAAAAAAGGATTGCAGCAAAAATTACTTAAAATTATTCGAAATAAATTCAAGAGAATTACCAAAAAAAATAACAATTTATTTAACAAAATATACGTCAATGGTCGATATTAATTTTTTAACAAAGAAAAAAAAATATACAAAAGTCGTTACTTCGTTTTAGCACATACTCGCAACCATACATCAGCAATCACCCCATACAACAATAGTATATTTTTAAAATAATCATCGTAAAGCGTTGAATCCTCGAGTATTATTTTACTACTCAAAATGCATTGCAAAATTACAACGTGGACTCTAAACGCTGGATTCGACACTAAACAAGAACGTCGGCTTACCAAGCAATTGAGCATTGTCATCGTCGTAGTAGCTCGGCCGAGCTCCCGGAAGAGCTTCGTGCGGTCGACTCAATAAATGATTAATTTAGAAGATGAATACATCTCTACAAATTACAAATTAATTTCAAGAAAGCAAAATCGCGACCATACTTTGAAATTAAATTTATGTTGCGGAGCGCGCAAAAGCGCGTCCGTATCTGTCGACAGTCCAGCCTCGCATTGTCTTCTTCATGGAGAATTACCCGCTTCTTTCTTCGTTAAAGTTAGCGGCACTAATCTTCGTTTCCAGTGGAATTGATCCTCGTCGATAATTAATCTAGGTCCGTATAATAATCAACGGAACTCCACGACAGTTTTTAGTCACCTCTGCTCCTGCAGTACTGACCAACCAACTGTCATCGATGGTGATCATCATATTAGAAAAATGCAGCAAATTATTCATATTTTCATTCATTCACACATAACATTCACGACGTTGGATTCAAGCCTGGAAGGTTCTAATATCCCAAGTATTGGGCGTCGAATAAAAAATTTACCACGTTACAACATCACTCACATTTTTAATTTTTATGAATAAATTCAAGTTTCTATCAACTTACACAAGTCATCATTCGACAAGTATGAGTATAGGTCTCTTATAAAAATATATGGAAGAAAAGAGTATAAAATACTCTCAATGATTTCTGCAGACTGTTTCAACAGATCAATCCTTAGAGCAGCTTTAATAAGCTTAAAATGAAGGAATTTCCCGTACAAAGGAAACATTTCCATTAATTTTTCGGGTTTACATATCCAATAATAAGAAAGACAATTATTCAAAGAAGCTATTTCGTTTAGATCAACGAATTTTAAGTAAACTGCCATTTGATGAATCGACCAATGCAACGCGTCATAATAAGACATTCTACTAATACCTATTTTCATACATTTCATTCTTTCCACTTCTTGTCGGCACCTGTTACGTAATACATCGTATTCTGGTCCTTGGACAGCTTCGACATTTCTGTTACAAACATAATAACCACCAACAAGCAATAGGACAATACATCTCTTGAAACATTGAACTTTTTCATTATCATCACTGCAATCGATTGCCAGTTTATTGTCACTGTCAACTATGTTAACATCTATTCCAGCGGTCAGTAAGGTAATGAGATTTCTCTTGAAAGAGAATTCAGCACGTTGATTTGCTAATCTCTCCAAAATTAGATGATGAAGCATCGAACGATTGTCTTCTGTTACAGCGTTGATTGTATTAAATTTTGGATGCCTGACAATAAATGCCAATCGGTGTAGAGAATCTGAGAGAAAATAGTATGTTAGAGGAAACGACTTGTCCTTGAGATAAATCGAACAGTTAATGTCAGCTCCGTCAGCCAACACTTCTTCTGCTAGTTTGAAATTCGAAAACTGAAGAGCTTTTATCAAAACAATTGACAATAAACTTGAAGGTGATTTGTATTCGACTATATCAATCCCCTTATTCCAAAATAATTTAAGAAACCTAAGAGAATTCCCATGATAAAGAGAAAAATTGCTTGAATCGATAAGATATCTACCAAACCATACCCTTTCCGATATATCTGTTATACCTTTCACTATTTCTTCGCTTGTAATAACTTCATTCACGAGATACTTAATCACTTCATATTTACGACGTCTAATAGCTGTGTACAGCACTGAATGTTTTATACCTTTCCAATAGTAACAAGCCCTTTTCACATTCAAATCGGCGCCATGCTCTATCAATTTCTTTAACAATTTTACATTTCCATATCTTACTACTCGGTGAATAACGTTATCCGTATCGTTATCATATGTTATGTTAACATCAGCATTTTTACTTAAGAGATAATCGATTAGTTTTTCATCCTGATTCACCACAGCACCATAAATAAGCGTTATGTAAATCTTGTTTACCATTATCCCCGTTTTCAAAGTCCCCGTAAATTCTATTATTTCATCAACATTTATTTTTTTATTTTCTATGAGATCTTTCGCGTAATCTAAGGTTAGTTCAGGATAGCTGTATATTTTAACGAAATGAGGAAAATGTTTGCAATTTTTCGTTTCCATTTCTGAAGTTATGATGATTTTTCTTCGGTAGTTCCTGGAAAGAAATATTAATTGACAATTAAGATCAAGTGAAATAGAGAAACAATAAAATATTTCTAGTCAATTATAACAGAAATAGTAAGTAAATTATATTTTTGTATTAACCCATGAAAAAATTTTCTGACATGGCCTGATATGCTCATATGTGGCTATATCAAAACTATGATTTAATTTATAATTTTTACTTTTGAGTTCGAAGAGCTCAAAAACGTCATAAGTGCAATTTTAAGCGCCTAGGTATGGAATTAGCGGGAAGTTGCAGGGAAGCCTCCAGGGTCAACCCTTTTTATAATTTTTTTTTACATTTTTCAAAATTTATCGGTCCGAATCGGTTCAAAGTCACAGGAAATCTAAGTTTGAGAGAACTCTTTAGAACGCCATTTGGTAGGTTCCGATCGTTTTAGTCGTTCAAAAGTTATAAACGATTCACATGCTCACACACACACACACACACACACACACACACACACACACACACACACACACACACACACACACACACACACACACACACACACACACAGACCGTGGCGGGCTGCTAGGACTCGCATCAGACCCCTCCCCAGGTGGTGGATAGGCGAATGCCCGGCAGATATGTCAGGTACCGAGGAAACAAAATACTCAGGGTGTGGACCAAACCCAGCAAAACAAAACGCTTATGCTTATCCAACCAGCTGAAGAGCGAACATACGCCGATCTCCTCAAGGAAATCAAGGCCAAGGTAAGCCCTGTCGAGACAGGCGTAGACATAAGGTCTATTAAAAAGACGAAACACGGAGGCGTTCTCCTTGAAATCGATCCATGTCAAAACATCTCGGGACATTACATCTCAGGACAATTACATCTCGGGACAATTTCATCTCAGGACATCACACCCCCCGGACACCATATCCGGCGATGCCTGATATACATGTCAGCGTCATGTATCCATGACAAATTTTGGGAATTGGGTGAATAAAGGATAAGGGGAAAGGGGGAGGACCTTTTTTCACTCAGTAGGAATCTTTTTGGTGACTGAAAAATAATTCGGACAGCCCGGACCGGGAATCGAACCCGGATCGTTCGGTTACGCGCCAAAGGCTCTACCAGTTAAGCTATCCGAGACCTTGTCCGTAACTATTATTCTGTCACCTATTAACACCTGACTTAAGTGAACGCCACCGTCCATCTTACGGTACTAACAAATATTAATTTGTAGTTTTTAAATTTGTCGTGTGGATAAGTCAGTGACACGGTCGGAGACACAATGTTGTGGGGGTTATCCCGTCACTGAGATGTTTTGTCGCCGAGATGTTTTTGGGCCGAGATGTTTTTGGCCAAGATATTATGACTGGCAACCCTATCAAAAATGGTTCTCAAAACCATTCGCTGTGGACGTGGGAGTAACAACACTAACGTCAACAAGGGCCCTGCGCTATCTGGGGGTAATGATAGACAAGAAACTATCTTTTTGCTAACACCTCGATAATGCATGCCAGAAAGCCAGCAAGACGGTGTCTAGCCTAACAAGAATTAGGACCAACACCATGGGACCAAGAACAGAAAAGAGAGAAAAGTTCTTCTAGAAGCAGTCCACTCGGTACTGCTTTATGGAGCGGAAATATGGGCAGATATATTAAAGCAGAAGACCTACCGGCGAAAGATAGCAGCAGTACAGCGGCGAGGTGCTCTCAGAGTTGCCTGCGCCTACCGCACGGTTTCCGAAGCAGCTGTACTGGTCATTGCGGGAGCTGCGCCCATTGACCTATCAGCGTTCGAGAGAGCAAGGCTACGACGCTAAAATCAGTGGTGAAAACATGAAGGAAGCAAGGAAGGGGAGAGACGGGCAGATGGACAGCGCGCCTGATCCCAAACATCAACGTCTGGCTTTCTCGAAAGCACGGAGACACGAACTTCTTTCTAACCCAGCTATTGACGGGACATGGGCAGTTCAATGCCTATCTTTTCAAGATGGGTTTGCACAGCACACCAACGTGCAAATACTTCCCAGACAAAATTGACAACGCCGAGCACATGTTTTTCGAGTGTGATCGGTGGAAGGACAACAGAATCAGCATTGAAGAAACAATAGGCACCACGCTCTCCCCTGAGAGCTTGGTAACTTGCATGATCAAAAAAGAAGAAAACTGGTCAGCTGTTGCAGCCTACGCACAGCGCCTCTTAAAAGAAAAAATTGCAGAAAGAGATTAGAAACCAGTAGTAACAAGCAGTAGGTGTCGTGACGCCCAACATGGGCTGGATTGAAGTAATGCTAACGCGGTCCTGATCCAGTCTTCCTTGTAACATCTATGGGGAAATGAGAGAGGAGGATGTTTAGTCGGTATTGTTGCAAATATTGACTTCCGAGTCCTACATACCTAGGCACCAACACCTAGTCCTGGCAACAACACCAAATCCTGGCATACGTAAATGTATTTTACCTCCTCTATAAAACACACACACACACACACACACACACACACACACACACACACACACACACACACACACACACACACACACACACACACACACACACACACACACACACACACACACACACACACACACACACAC